TGCACTTCTGCCATCTTCTGGCCGTTTTTGGTATTGGAGTTTCAAAAGTCAAATTTAGTCTTCAATCATTCATGCAATCTCTGATCCCAGACCCCCTAAAAACCAAAACACTTGTGGCAGAACAACAGAAATCCGTGCAGGCATCGAGATATTCAGTGATGTCCTCACTTATTTTGATCATTTATAGAATTTGAATTTCAGGCTCATGATCTTTTTTTGCTTTAATCTCTGAAATTCAAATTCTATAAATGATGAAAATAAGTGATGACATCACTGAATATCTCGATGCCTGCACGGATTTCTGTTGTTCTGCCACGAGTGTTTTGGTTTTTATTTTGTTTGTTATATATATAATCAATCAGCCCAACAGTGCAGCAGCTGACCGGCAGTGCACAGTGGGGGAAGGGCAGAGTTGGGCTTAATCTAACACTTGAAGCGTGTTTTTTTTCTGCTTCCAGTTTCCCAGAGTTTAAAGCCGAACAGCAGCAACAATCATCAAACTAAGGCAGAGAAAGTGTCGGCTTATAGTAAAGGCAGTAAACGGTGTCCCTGTGTTGCAGGGATGGAGTGAACGAAGGCATCCAGTGGATGGTGAAGTGTGTGATGAGGAACATTCACCGGCCGCCCAGGCAGAAGGACATCACCTAAAGCTCCGCCCACTCTGGAAGTGAAGGACTCCTCCAGTTTTTCACACTTCTTTGTTGAAAGCATTTGTTGTCGCAGTGTGACGGTGCAGGCTATACAAACATCCACATGTCACGTCTTATATGAACACTTCAAGTTTTCACTACTTCAGGCGGGGCCCTGAATTCATTCTTCTTTCCATGAATTCATGACTTTACTGTACAATGAAACTGGTTGAAATTGTTGGGCTGTGGGTTTAAATAAACGATTAAAAGACATAAACAGAGACAATTTTTTGTACTTTCTTTGTAAAAGTATGTCACCGAATGGCTCTGGCATAGAAACCGCCTTCAGCGCCCGGCAGTGGACGCCAGCTGGGCTATGTTGACAAACCTCTGCAGGGATCCAGCTGCCATTGCACAGCTGGCATACAGGTGTGGTGTTGTTCACCACTGGGTGATCTCATTGAACACCATAGAAAACAAACTGATTCCATTACAATTAACTAAAGATATTGAATCCAAACGTGCTTCGATAAACAGTCTCTCAACTGAATTCAGATCATCGAAAAAAAAAAA